TGATTTTCGTGAAGCGAAAACCATAAAAAGTCGACTTTTCATCGTTAACGCCCCACATTTTTCCTAAGAAAATTCCCTTAAATTGCAGTCAAATGCTCAAATGTTCTCAGACTCCGAATTTAAAGATTATTTGTCAAATCTTTCAATATTTTCGCTTGAAAACCTAAAAAAGTACAGTCTTTCGACCACTTTTCTTTGGCAAATGCGATAATTCCAATCGAGAATCCATCAAAAACACATCCTTCTCGTCTGTTTTTTAAACCGTGCTTGAAAAATTGACTTCAATTTTCCAAACAATTTCAATTAAGAAGAAAAATTTCTAGTTGTGTAGATTTATAAATGAAATTTCTAAATGAACTTTCCACCACTAATTCAATTTCCCGAGAGGTTAATTGGTAGAAATTTCTCTCGAGCTTCCTCTGGCCAGAAGACCTGTCGTGTCCGGTCTTGGGAAGGCAGAGCGGAAAGTGGGGCGAAAATCAGAGATTTGCCACGAGTTAAATGGATTTTGTGCTGCCCAAAGGATGGGGCGCAAAAAGGAGGGCAACAAGACGAGGAATAATTTATGAGGGGCGATAAAATAAGAAATAGAAGCCGTGTGATGGCAAAAAGTGGGATAAACCCATGTATGGACTTCTTGTGTAATATTTGCCATGATAAGACGACACACAATGAATAGTGTCATTTTTTTCCGCACTTTGCAGAGCCACTCTCTCGAAGAAAATGATAAATCGACGGCTTGAATGGACCATTGTGTAATTATGGTCATGTCTTATGCAGATTCAGGTGCTTAGCCACATCTGCAAGACGTCCCCAATTGAAGGCGATCTCGCTCCTCTGCATAATTACGGAGACAATCATTTCGCTACCACACTGAATTGATTAGAGTAATTTTTTGCGATAATAGAGTTTGATTAATCAAATCCCCCGGGCGATAAATCATCACAGGCAAAAGTCAGAATTTGCATTTCAATTGACTGAATATGAAAATGATCATCGCAACCCCTCCCATTTCAGCTCTATCGCCCATCAAGTAAGGAATTTTGATTTGTAATTTGTTGTTCGGCGGAACCGAAGAAACCGATTCCCCTTTGTTGCCTCTCCCCCTTGAATTGTGAGCCGAAGGAAGGGCGAGCGAGAGAGAGGAAATTGTTAAAATCTAATGGATCGTTAATTTCCAACTTTTCATTCCCGTCACTCTAGTCACAAAAGCGACCCCGCAATGGCTGAAATGTCCAGAAAGAAGGGCAGAATGAATTGGAACAAGGAATCCTGGCGTGTCCTAATTACGAGCCCATCAAAGCATGATTTCGAAAAGTATAATGCTATGCAGATAATGTTTTCCCATTCTCTCCTTCTTTTGATAAAAACAACACAAAAATCCACCTCACGCCGCCAAGCTTTTATCACGTGAATACTTTCTATATAATTTTAAGCGCGCAATAGGGAAAAACAAAGGGAAGGGACAAAGAAAATGTACAGCTTTGAGTTTTAATATTAAATGAAAAACACGAGGGGTTTGAGACAGAAGAATTTGCTATCAAAGAAATGTTGAATTACAAGGTTCGATGCGAAAGGAACGCGGAGAAAATGTATCATGAAAATTATAATGTTCACAAATCTAACATTAACTGGAAATCGAGATCTAAGGAATATCAAGAAAATGATGTGAATAAAATACACTTGCATGTTACAAATTAGTGTAATCTTAGTAAATCAATATATTAATATATAATAAAAAACAAGATTTCAAAAAGTAAATATGCAGAATTTTCTAACAAAATATTTGACAAATAAATTCATACTCAAAATATTAACTTTTTTATGATTTTATATGAGCTTTCAGAGTATAAACCATTGTATTTTTAAATTATTATACAAAAATCACTGAATCAGGTTTTTCTTTTATGTCTCTATCAAAATTCAACTCTTCCAAAATAAGAATTTCACAAGGAGAAGATAATACGGCTGAAATCTGCACATCACTTCCAGACACTTCCACAATTTCTATGAAAAATCCCTAACATTTCCCGGGACTTCAGACTTCGTGAATTGTTTTTTACAAGACTAAAATCAAATCATAACTGAAATTTAACTGAAATTTTACTGAAATCTAACCAAAATCTATCTTTCTAGTCTACAATTTAGTGTTGTTAAGTGAAAATTTGAGGTTATGTTTGATTTAAACCCTCTTAGCTTTCATTATAGCGATTTGCGATGCAAAAATTTCTTTCTAAACTTTTTTTTCATCCTTAATAAGTCACATCAAAGCTGTGAACCGAATATTTTGCAAAATTGAACTCCAACTGATCTGTACACTACTTCTGACCATATTATCTTCCCCTTGGCATTTACAAACATGGTTGAAAGTTTTTAACCTTGGACGTCCCTTTTTGCAGCTATCAACCCCTCAATCTTGATTTGATGTGTGTCGCAAACAGTGAATTCATCAACAATGCCAGCGGACTTGACCACAAAGCGGTGGTCAGAATTTTCTGTTTACTCCCAAAATATTTGTGATCTTGCTTCCCTCGGCGAAAGAAGCACAACATCGTAATTATATCATCGAACGGAGAGAAGGGGTGTACGGGTCATGAATATTCTAAATTAATATGTTTCACGTGCCGCATATATTTGCTCCCGAAAAAAAACGAGTCCACTTCCACACGGTGCGCTATAGAGCGAGAATAGAGGCAAAAGATGACAGTTGATTTCATGCAATTAAGTATATTTTCCAATTACAGTAATTATGGTGACTTTTGTACAAATAGTTTCAGTGTGTCCTCTGCACGACTGGATGGATAGATTAAGCCGACATGGAGACAATGGGAGAGTGAGAGTAAAACTTTGTCCATCAACATGATAAATGGAAATGCGACATGAAGGAAATATATTTTTCCTTGTCTCGGCTTTGGAAAGAAGTGCGACAATAAAAAGCAAAACTCCAGGTATATATACATAAAACCATTTAAGTATGGAGTGTCTCTCTATCCTTGGGAAGCCCATCCTGTGCGTGAATGCCTGGGAAAATGAAGAGAGACGCAGAGCGAAATGAGGAGGGAATAATTTAAAATTCCATTCACATTTTCCAATTATGCTTTATCCGTTCATAACTCACAGCAGCTGCCCATATGCCGAATAAATGCCAAAGTTAACGAATCGATTGCCAGGAACTCCCCAGTGAACCCTCCTTTGCCATTTTTCCCTGTGGTGTGCATATAAATTTCCCCGGCAAATTTTAATCCCGCTCAGCCTCTCCCTAAGATCCCATAAAACATGATGCTTTGCAGGGGATAATTGGAGGCCGAGTGCGATGGTACGCAAGCAAGTAGTGCAATTTCCATGCCACTCCTGACTTGATGACGATTATTGTCTCATGGGCGAAGTCGTGATGTATGAGATTTCAAACAGAGACGCACATCGTCTGCCATTTGGTTGCCCCTCTCATTTGAATTTCCACTAAATTTCATCATACGCTAATCCCCATTTGTTTTTGTAGCGACATTCTCAAAGTGGGTAAGCAGGCAATGGCGAATGCGGGACGCCCGCGAGAAGCAGCGGATGAAGAGGAGGCCGAAGAAGAGCGGCTGAAATCTCGACAGAAGCACACGGAAGGGCAGCGAAGAAGGTGGAAAAGAATCTAATTAAGTGCCACTGTTCGCCACTGGGAATAACAGTTTTCGAGACTGACTTGCAGTGAACTTTCCACAGTCACGCATTAGCCCATTTCTCACGAAGGCAACGAAAGTAAATTCCGAGACAGCGACACCTAGGCAATGAACTTGAGTTCTTAATGTGGCGACAGTGGAAAAAGGGCGGGGCATTTGAGTGGGCGGGGCGCAGTTGATAGTGCTTTATTGTCCATATATCGAGATTTTTAGGGTTGCTCGCGTCGCATGAAATTGAGAAATATCTTCACCACAGTTGTTTGTCATTTTACAAATAAAGCCCAGAGATTGAACGACAATTCCATGGGAGCAATGATCGAACACTATCGGTGGTTTGTTTAATGTTTTATTGCACATAAAAATTTCATCTCTTCGTCAAACACAAGCGGGCAAAAGGCAGGGCAGAAAAACCATTGTGTAAATATTGTTAAGTTGGAACATTTCCACGTTATTGCGATCCCTCTGTCATCGTGCGTGCTATTTGCTCACTGATCGTCCAGATTACGACGGTGGCGGGGTATTTATAAACAAGGGGTGTGGTTCATCCAGCGGAATATCATACGCACACTTCATGTATCGCAGCGATTCAACTTGACGCGAAGTGAGAATTGTGCTTTATCTTCCCTCCACCAGGCTGGATGTGTAATATGGCAATGATCGATTGGAGTTGCCCACCTCTCGAGCGGCTCCGAATTCCGTGGCTACATATGTAAGTTGCTGTTGCTATAAATTTAATGCTATGTACTGCTCGCATGCAGATATTTCAGCATTATGTAGTTTACCACTAAGCTGAATTTCCGCAATATTTTGCGGGAGGGAATACCAAATGAAGCATATTTCGGTGCGACCCGCGTCAGGGCCACGGAGAATATCCAATTGATACGTATGCAATTTTAATATGGGGAGCCCAGAGTGTGGGACTGGCGGCAATAATTCATTGCATACCCTCGCCACTGTCCTCAATATTAATGCCTCGCAACTTATTGGACATTGTGTCATGCTAACGCAGTGGCAAAGAGATTTTATTGAACACTCCACGTACGCCTCGTAAAGTGACTAATTTCATAACGTGCGGCAAATTACCGTGACCAATTTTAGCCGCCCTCACACGGCACACGGTGGGCCAGCTCGGGTGACCAGTAAACTTGCCAAAATCACTGGAAATGTCAGATCATCAATTTTGCATAAAATAACCCCGCAATTATTACAACAGCGAGAGAGAGAGAGAGACGAAATTTTTCACTTCCTTCAACATTGCAATCGCGTGCATGGGATAAAAATAAAGCTTGCTATTTATACGCTGTACATGAGGTTGGAAGGTAATTAACTCACCGATTTGACAAGCTGCTCAGCTGATTTCCACACCCAAAAGTCCCTCGATGGCCAATTTCACTTCCTCGCCCGGTGGTTTTCTGTCGGAGTTGGAAAATTAATAGAACTTCACACTATGAGAACGGACGTTTCTCATCTCCTTCTGAAGTATTGAGAGAAACGCCATTTCTCCCCACTCAACTTGACTTCACAATTGAATTACCCCGGGAAAGTCGTGCAAGTCAGGAGCAAAACTCCTCCAGCCCCAGCAGATCTCACTGTTTTTAATTGCAATCGCCAGAGAAAAGGGAGAAAATTGAAATATCTAACCAATTCGAGTGAGTGAAGCTCATTAACTGACTGTGGGTTTATTTTGAGAAAGAATCGCCATAGGAAAATGGCTACCAAGTGAAGGTTTTCACCCATCATCATATGCAGCAATCTCAATATGTAATATTTGGCAAGTGAACCCAAAGACGCGATGAAAAGCCACTAAGACTAGAAATGCTGCCAATAGATTCCTCGCGTCTTCGTCATTGATCACGGCTTCAAATGGTGTCAGTTAGAGGTTAACAGAGTATTGATGATATTGTAGATTCTTAAAGGTTGATCTGAGGTTAAGAGACTGGAAATTTGTAATGAAAACGTAACTGAAAGAAAAAGACGTTCTTTAAATTCAAGATCAAAATTTGATTTTTGGATATTTTCAATTCAACATCGTTTAAAAATAATATGCGATAAGAATTCAGACATTCTCTGCAGATTTTTATTATGTATTAATTGCTTTAGAAGCAGGAAACACTTCCACTTCTTAAGTACTTCTTCTGAGCTGTACACCTCTTCGGACCATAATGTCTTCGCCTCTTGTTTATAACCTTTGAGGCAATCTTAATTCATTTGTATTACTCAAATGCTGTACAATTCTGTTTTATATAGGTATAACTAGTTCAGCCTCGCCCTAATTATTTGTCTCTCCAGCCGAATCGGGGCTGAGCTGGAAATGTCTTAGCGGAACATTGTTAAGCCTGATGGGAAAAGCATCAGGCAAGTTGTCAGGCTCTCGCCTGGGAAACCCATTCCCTCGTCACAGTCACGAGGACATTTTAGTCAGCGCTCGGATGAAGGTGGAATAGCGATTACGGAGAATTCCTTAGCATAGAAATCACACGCCTGGATTTATTTGTTATTTCCTTTTTTGACATGTTGAGAAAGTTTCCCTCAATGGCATCCTCGCAAATCCATATCACGGAGACGAGAGCAATCTTCTCTCTCTCTCTCTCGCTTGAATACAATATTTCTCCTATCGTCAGGCCATGTAGCAAACTTGTGTCGCTCTCCACCCTCGGCCACCCTCTGGAACTGTGGAAATCCGTCTGATGGCGGGATCATGGCGAAATCAGCCTCCCATGGCTCGAGGGGCTGGAGATGGAAGTGAATTTCCGAATTACCGAGACACTCCCAGCCGTCGTCCTTCAGACACACACACAACCCCATTAAATCTGTGGCCTCTCCACCCCCCCCAGCAGTCACTCGAGAGTGACATACATAAATGCAGTTGGCTTTTCCGGGAAGACTTGCCACCACGCGAGGAGACGTTCAACTCTGGGGGCGACTTAATGAAGGATTAACGTCCATATGACTTAATCTTTCTTGGCTGTTGCCATCAAGCGCACACATCTTTTTCCCATTGGAGTGGATGGAATTAAAAGTTTTACGATGGGGCAATTTATGAAATATTTATTTTAATATCGCGCAGAGCTCCATTCCAATTTACGGCCTCACAATTTTATTTGGCTCGGCAAAAATTCGCAGGCCGGAGAATAAATTACATCATAATATTTGTGATTCATATTTATACTTTTTATTGTGCTCACTCCCCATCGCCAGAGACGCACGGCGAGGCTTTGTTGAGGAGCGAAGAAGGGGATTTTCACTGAAAATCTTTCTTGTCACTGAATTATTCTCCCTGGCGACCAAAGAATTATTGCTGGATTCTTTCCGGCTGACATACCAAAGCTGGGCAGAAGAGATTCTCTCTTGAGTCTCCTGAAGAGGTTTGGGGAATTTGCAATGAATAGACGTTGCAGAGAATCTTACAAAGTATCCAAATCAATTACCATTCGTTGGGAGATCAAGCCAGCGCAGAAATAATTCATGTTTGCGTTGCATATTAGTCTCTCAGCGCATTGGAGGTTTAAACGCCCATAAAGAAAAAAAAACTTCACGGACAATTCGCACATCAATTTGCTTATGTTGACTCAATATGAATCTGCTCATATTCTCAATGACAGTGATCTTGGGATTGTTTTGAGATCGTGAAGTGTTCCAAGCATACGTTATGTTTATAATGAGTCTCTTGGCCTTTCGCCTGGGCTCGCTGTGCATGACTTCGCCAGTTGACGAACCCCTTGCGCGATTGAGTGATCTGCTTTTATTGCCACTGCTCGGCGGAATCGGCGGGATTTGGCCAAGGGTGGGCAACTGTTCGATTTGATAGAGTGGAATGGCATCCCCTGTCAGAGGGCGAGGGTTTATAATTAGTTAGAATGTCTCTGCGTCCTTTGTCAAGTCGGTTTCTGCACGAGAGAAGAGTAGCAATTTTACGCAGATTATTATCGACACGTTTCCCTACTCGTAAATAATATTAATAACAACAATAATAATCAGCACATGCACAAGTTCTCACAATTGGCACGTGGCTCGCTTTTTGCCACGGTTCGCCTCTTTCTCACACGGCGCTTTTGGGGCCATTGTGCAGAGCAGCCAGAGGAATTGTCACGGGGGCGGGAATGCAAATGAAGAGACTTCGCGCGCCAAAAGTGAGAATGACAGATTAGGAGGGAGAGATTGAAGAAAGACGTCAGATTCGATAAGTGGTTTATTTTTCCCACATCACACACGATCATGCGCATTATTTATGGCCGCGCATATATTCTTTATCTGCGGAGTCGCATGGGCGCAAGATGAGCTTGCCTACCTCGTGTATCGCGTCCAACTCGCCGTGGAAACAAATGGATGGTAAAATATTTGCTCTTAACGAAAATTTCATTTTAGCATCCCAGACGAGCGGCAACTTGGGAAACTTTAATTAGTGGCAAACAGTGTAAAATGTTGTGTAAATTGAAAGATGCCTCGAAAGTCTCTCGTGATTCTCTCATTTATTCATTAGCAATTGCACGAGGGAGTAAAAATTGTTCGAGGGAGTGGAGCATGAATGAGCCAAGCAAGGCGGCAAAAGTTCCTCTGGCGGACATTTCATTTGCATGAAACATTCATAGTGAAAATGGCATTTCGCAGACATTCACAGCGCTCACCAAATTACAAGTCACTTCGACTTTCAATTTAAGAACAAATCACTGAATCAGGTTCTTTTTTTTATGTCTCTATCAAAATTCAACTCTTCCAGAATAACAATTTCACAAGGGGCAGAAAATATGCCTGAAATCTGTACACCATTTCCTCACACTTCCATCAAAATGTATGAAGAATTTTTGACACTTTGTATGACATCAAACTTCATAGATTGTTTATAAAAAAAAACTAAAATCTAACCGAAATCTAACCAAAATCTAACTGACAATTTTATACCTATGATTTTCTAACTGTTCTAATCATGTTAGCAGCTATAAATGGTTTTCCTTGGATGATTTTCTGATTTTATTTGCACTTTACGTTAAAAATTCTCAATTAGAATCTTTTTGGTTCAAATTGTAGTGTTATGAAGTGGTAATTTGAGGTTATGTTTAATGTTATCACTGTTTTTTAGCAATTAGCTTTCAGAATTGTGATTTGTAATGAGTGAAAATGCACAATTCTACTAATAAATGAAAATAATTTGATTTTCAATGCAAATATTTCTATTTTAAACTCTTTATTCGTCTCTAAAAAATCGCATAACCTAGAAAAATTGTCAAAATGGGGACTTTGATAAAAATTAATTTCTGATAATTAAATATTTAACAGCAAATCAAAGCTGTGAGAGAAATATTTCATAAATTGCAACACTTCTACTTATCTGTACACCACTGCTGACCATATTATCTCCCCCTTGTAATTTCCTATAGCACATTTTTAGGCATATTTCTGAGCTAACTTTATAGCCTTAAGAGATAGATTTTGCAGCTGAATTCCCAGAGATTTCTGGGAACATTAAAATCTCCCAAACATACGAGAAGCATCATTTAATAAATGCCATGCTTAATTTTTTGGCAGCATTGCCGCGCGCGAGATGATTGCCGCAGCTCGAGAGATGTTTTATGCGGATTCCAGGCCAGTGGCAGACTATGGGCGAGCTGAAGTGGCTGAGAGATTAAAGATTGAAGGAATTATAACACATAAAAAGACCTGGAATGGCGCTGAGCACGAATTTAGCCGTGTGACACGCAATCGCTAAACCATTTCAACTCTCACGGGCATTCCTTGGCAAAAGTTGCGGATTTCTTGCGATTGAAGTTTCCTGCATTCGAGGCTAAATGCGAGTTCCACAGCTTTATGAGTCATTATGTGTGGCTGTTTTTAGTGTGAGGGTAGTTTTGAAAATTGCCCAAAATCTCTTTTCCGCACTGTGTGAAATCATGGGTATTTACAATTCATGGCAAACTGAGAATTTCGTGCTTGTTTGTCTGAATTGTTGTTTCTTTTTTTCCATATATAAATAGACTGTATTTTTAGTGGCACTCCTCCTGAGTAGCGAGAAACCCATTTTACCTAAAAACCCATTCGCTTTTAATTACAAAACAACCTGAGAGTGTGGGTGAGGACGGAATTCTTCTGCGGAAAGTGAAATAGCGCACAATGAAGATTGCCGAACACGAAATTTTCAATTGCTTCGCTAAAATGTGACACGTAAAGTCGCGGCGCAATTTTCCAATAATTCAGAATAATTGATTTTTGCGATTCTCGTCCTCTCTTGGTTCAGCCTATAAAAGCATTCCACGCTGCACAGTTCATCTCATGCCATCGCAAAACAATTCAATTACTTGGCAAGCCTGCAGCGAATTTTCAGGCACATGAAAATGGAAAATCTTGTTGGTGGAAAAACTTTTCCGCCCCAACTTTTCCATCCCCTGGAGCTCAAGAGAGAGAGAGAGAGAGAGAGGCTTTGGGCCGGAGTTTCTCGGCGCGTCTCTCAAACATTGAATATTTATACGGAAAGTTTACGGCGGAAGGGAATTTTAACAATTAAATAAGGTATGTAAATACTTGATGCACATGAAATCTCGTCTGTTGGAGAAATATTTTCCATGAATATTTGGGAAAGCCTCTCCTGTTGCCGCACGTGAAATATTATTACTCCTGTAGTTGTTGTTCTCTTTGTCAATATTGGACAAAACACATGCGAGAGTGTCTTGAGGTGGAAAAGTATATGT